TACTAAGTCATGTTTTGCAGAGGGGTCAAATACTTATTTCCCTCATTAAAATGCAAATCAATTTATAACGCTTTTTGACATGCGTTTTTCTGGATTTTTTTTTTTGCTGTTATTCTGTCTCTCACTGTTCAAATAAACCTACCATTAACATTATAGACTGATCATTTCTTTGTCAGTGGGCAAACGTACAACATCAGCAAGGGATCAAATGCTTTTTTCCCTCACTGTATGTACGGGGAGCTCATGGCAGTGTGGCACCGGGGCGATGGATGAAAGAAGGTCCGGATACGTGATAGCAGGTGCATTCTTGCCAGTCCGACGTTTGGAAGAGTCCACCATGCAGAAGTAGCAGTTGCTTGAGTGGTCAGTGGGTTCCCGCCAGATTCTTGGGATAGCGGACTTCATGGCTCTCTTTTCCCTTATGTACCATCCTACAAAAATGCATTTATTTCACTCATGACTAAAGTGTAAGAGATTCTGGCAATATTTTTCATATATGATTTATTTTTCAATAACATTGAAAATTGTAAAACATTTTCAAAAAAAACTTTTACAATTCCAAAAATGTTAACAAATTTTATGACGTAAAATTCCGAGCAACAATTGTCCATCTTACCTTCCAGAGATTTTTTGCATTGCTCGCAGGTGAAATGAGGTGCTCAGGGTTTGTCTTGATCCCCGACAGGCATGCCGAAATTTGCCTTGTAGGCCTCACACATCTTAGCAGATGCTTAAACAGAAATTGGCCACAGACATAGCAAAATGCGTCTGCTGGATGCTTGCAGCCTCTTGATGCCATCTCAGAAAAAAGCAGATATGTATCCACTTAGGCAGCTGGAACTAAACTGAACTGGTGGGCATAAGGCCCCTGTATTTATACTACTATTTATATTACTGGAAATTTTTAGAATGTTCTACAAGTTACTCCAAGTTTATTCAGCACTGAATCTATCTGGAATGTTGTGGAAAATAGGTAAATTTCAAACTATCACTGTCCTGATCACAAAAGCAAAGTTTGTAGAGAACACTATCCATTTTCGGTACTTTTGAGGCGTAAGCAATTAAGAAATAACACTTACTACTCAGGAAGAAAACAAAAAAATGTTACAAAGTGTTATGAATAATATTGGTCGTGAAAGCCCTACTACGTGTTAGACAAACGACATTGTGTTTCGCGAGGGGGGCCGTCGAAAATCATTCTGAGAACTTAGAGGCTTTAAAAAAAAAGTAGCACCGTCTCAACGTAACATTTTAATTTTGTAACAATTTGCGCGTTTACATTGCTCTCGCGTATTACATCGACAAAAGAGCAAAATGGCGCACGAGTGCAAAGGCCGCATCTTAGCAAACAAGCAAAAAAATCCCATTCTCAAAACTTTTTTGACCGTTCATACCCCCGGCACCCTGATTTCTCTAGAGGATGTAAGGGATCATTCTAGATTTGAAGTTTTCGTGACTGCAGTGATCCATATTCTTTGGTTATTTCGGTAAAGTCACGTATTAAAACATTTCTTGCTGTGGTTGTCACACCTGGTGATGATTGCTTGTGTTGCAATCGAAACGTCGTGATTTAATTTATTTCATTTTATTTTTTTCCACCTACGTGACTTTACCGAAAGAACCAAAGAATATGTAAGGGATCAACGTAAAACAATAGGAGGCAACACCAGCAGCTCCAAGACAAGGACAGTCTCAGCGGCCTTCTGTTGCTGCCACCCTCCCCACACCAATCCCTCTCCCACGCTCCCACCCACAACTCTGAAATGCTATTTGAAGCGTGCATTTTGGAGAGTGCCGATGTGATGGGATGCACTGTCAAGGAATGACAAACAGCGTGGCGAAAGAAAAATGCGTGTCGGCTTGGGAGGAGGCATTTCCAAAAGTGGACACGGCCATTCCGCTTCTCCTGCAGATAAGATGGGCTTCTCTGGTACATCCCGCGCATAAAATAGGCGTTTTACATATATAAATATACATGCAACGTTAATGTGTATCCTGTGTCTCTTACGCACCAAATAAACACTCCATGTGTCTTGCGCATTCAAATGGACACGTTATAAACGTGTTTTACAGAGCGTTCCGTTCTTTTGAGTTTTGTTTTTGTGCATACAAATTTTAGTGCGAAAACCATTCACGTGAATTAATGAGAAATAGGCAGTTATTGCTTTGTACTGATTTTATATCGTCGAATTTATAGAATCTTTTTTTTTTACCAATTTCATTTAGACTTTTTTTTAAACCATGTTTAAAATCTGGTCAACAAAACTGACGACGGTTATACTTTGCGTGAAAGGGCTTCTCGCAGTGTTCGTTCATTCCGATCGTAAGGTTTTGTTTTTTAAGTGCACCAGGCAGATATATTAGCTTTATGGCCACATTCATATCCACCGCGGAGACACAAAGACAGAGACAAAGATCCCCCATATAGCCTTAACATACTGTTGAGGGGCAAGTGCTGTTAGCGAGCACCTATGTAGGCCGGCACGGCACACGAGGGGGTGGATGGCTAACGCCACACCCGGCCGCCTTTGTCTCCCTAGTGACGATGTTTACACACTGCACCAGGTACTAAATTGAGGCTGAGTCGACTTAGGAGAGGCCCAGGACTTGTTCAGATAATCGTAACTGGTGTTGGCCATGAGCGGGAATCAAACCCCGGTGGCCAGGTCCGTAGCACAGCGTGCAAAACGCTACACGACCGCTCCCCACAAACGCACACAAAATGCACAATGTTCCTGATGACAACATTGCATGGTGTGTAGCACTTTATCAGCATTTATTGAAACATATCTAGCCAAGTGGCGCTTTTATATGCGAGGCCGACGCAGAATACAAAGGCATTGAGTTCAAATCCCATTCGGGGTCATCTGATCCCATTATCTGCGTGAAATCAATAAAATAATAAAATCAAATGCAGTCCGGATTTATACGGTGCCGAGATGCAACCGCATCTCGAGATGTTGTGAAAAGCCATGGGACATGGGCATCCTGGGGGAATAGGTTTCATTATTATGTGGACAGAAACAGAGAGGCGTCGGCGTGAATTTCTGGGTAAAGGGAGATGCAGACTTGAGGGACAGCAGAGGAGAAGCAGCAACCAGGAACCATCGACAACAGTTTACTGTGTATGTCATCTGGTGATACTGGCCCCACCATGAGAAAATTTGGAATTTCCACCACTGCTTACGCTGTGGTGATACTGCCTCCTACCATAGAATACTGTTACAATCGTGATCAATCTTGGAGATATTGGAAATGGTTCATCATGCCTGGACTGCCATACAGACGTTATCCCTTAAATATTTACAAACAGGGCACCACCATAACACAGTTTTTTAGGTAGATCACGTGAATATAAATGTGTCGTTAAACCCGCTACCACCTGACACAGCCAATTAGTAAGGTTTGTCACGCAAACAAAACGTGCCAATTCGTTACGAGACCAGCACACCAGTGTGTTGGGAGAGTAAACCCAAAACATTTACAATTCGAGTACGACGTTTCGCCAGTAATTACAACTAGCATCATCAGGCGACAGCCAGATTTTGTGGAGAAATCCTCCTGCTTCGATCTTAAATAGAGGGGGTAAATGTGATGTCGTCACTTTGTGAGCCACCGTTGCTTGAATTGCATTGGCAGTTGCGGTGCGTGACAAAAAAACCCAAGATAATTTTTCCTAAATACTGGCATAGTGGCACCTGTCTGTAAACCCGTGTTTGTAGATGACAGGGTGCCAACCAGATTGGTGACAGTAATCCATTTCTAATACTTTATCTGTAAACGACGAGAAACGCATCAGACGGAAACGTGAATTACACAGTCGCTATGGGTGATGTCACGTGACATGGAGGGCATGATTGGAGGACCGATACAAATGGTCGCAGTCATTCATTTTTGCCGTCTAGAAATGCCCTTTTGCATGTAGTCTTACTCGTCATTGCTGACCTATCGTTCTTGGATTTACAAGTGTTATCCCCGTCACATGCCCCAATTATTTCACTTGATACTCTGGTTACGCGCCACGTGTGAATCATTGAGTATGTAAGTGGATCCTCCTAAAATTCAGGAAGGCTTTTCTGGGGAAAAATGCTCTTGTTATTGTAACCCCAGCGAGTGGAGCTCAGCACGCGTTCCCTTCTTAATGTGTCTGAGTGTGTCTACGATCCAACAGCATTCGCCGCTGCAGTCTCTATGACTCATACCTGTTAACCCTTTATCAGACCAGGTCAGACCTTATTGGCCACCCCGTGCCCTTATAAATCTCAACGTTCATCCTACAAAGTCCCATCACAAGGGAGAAACACAAACAAATACGCAGTATGGACCCGGAAAACTCAATTTCCCTGTACAAGAATATGGGTTAAACCGTATGGGTTGACAGCTATGATAACTAAGATAGGCTTTTTGTTATTTGTTTATCTGTCCTAAACTTTAAACTCCTATCGTGTTTTTGTATTGCTTGTTGGTGGAACTTTCTGACCCCATGCCCCTACTGGACATCTGTGAAAAAGAGCTTTACACCTCATCGGATTACTCCAGTATGAACAAATATTATTATTCTGAAGTGGTTGATCTTCATCATTTGTGTGTTCATCAGAATATCTCTATTCAGGTTCAAGTTTGTTCAACCAGTATCAATACTGGGAAGGTAAAGACAGATGGGCATGATACATTAATGCCAGCCTTAATAGATGTTCACTTAAAGCACTCGCCACCGTGGTTTATCACACTTAATGGGAGACCTTTGTCTTGTGCGCGTGCGTGTGTGTCCATGAACAAATCACTGTATCAGAGGTGTACATCCTGTTCACATCCCTACACCTCTGCAGTAGCACATGGATGATTGAACCTTGCGCACGTGGGGTGACAAAGGCGGCCGGCGACCCCCTCCTGTGCCGCGCAGACTTTTCGTAGGTGCTCGCTTGCCCCAAAAGTCTGTCGAGGCTAAAAGGGGGGGGGGGGGATCTCTGTCTTCTGTCTGCACGCGTGAACGCTTGCAGCAAGAGAAACTTGGCGACATCTGCATCTCCCTGCGCTACGTCCCCACGGCCGGAAAGCTCACCATCGTCGTCCTCGAGGCTAAGAACCTGAAGAAGATGGACGTTGGTGGTCTTTCCGGTGAGCCCTGCGACTCTCGCGCGAGCGTCCCGTGCGTTTGGCCTCTCGACTTGGCGGTCACGCCGAAGGCGGTAAGTTCGAATGCCAACGGCACGTTGGCTGATGAATCCGTTTGGCGGAGACCTCGTGGGGGTTCGGGCTTCAGGCTCGGCCTGCCTCCCTCTCGGTCTCGTCACACGTGGACACAAGGCTGCGAAAAACGAACAAGCATGGGGATAGAGCATCGGGACAAATGGAGTTGGCGAAGGGTGGCAGGAGAGGGTGTAGCGGTGGTGGTGGGGTTGGTGGGGAGTGGTCAGACCAGGATACCCGGAACAGAGGGAGTTGCGTTGGATGTCTGTGCGAGGTGGGGTAGAAGGCCAAACTGTGGCAGAATAGGGGGAGGTAAGTCATTATCTGTAAAAATCCCCAGACAGTATGAGAGTAAAAATCAGATGGCGTTAAAATGAGAAGCTTATGTTGTCCGGGTTGTGTTGTTCTTACAAACCGAACACAACGGCCAGTGTCAGAATTGTTCAGGTCAAACCCGGACAGATGACGAAGCTAGTTCAGGCACGAGAGTAAAATTAGCTCAAGTGCATCCTGAGAGAATCGTAGACAGCTGATTTCCAGTTTTCTCGGAAACCAAAACTAGAAGTGTTCTCATGCTCAATTGAGATTGGGGTGGTGTTCAGCTCGAGTAATGCCCTGCGGCAAGTCCACATTTCCATGGCAGGGCCAGCCTTTGCAGAAAACAACCATTCACATCCTGCGAAGTTGTGGATGCAGGAACTCAAACAGAAATTTATAAACATAGAATTTAAATTTAACGCATAGGCTTTCGCGACTCAAAAAAACTTTATTATGAATTGAACTTTTGTTTTTTAATGTTCAATATGATTATTTTTTTGCCATTAGGGTGTAATATATCTACATTCGAGCTAAAGAAGCGTCCATTTTATGTTTGGCCCAGGGCCTCAAAATATTTAATCCGGCTTGACATTAAAGTGCTCCCTATAATTTACGACTTCCATTTCTGGATATATTATTTTATTTATATATTTTTATTTTAAATCTGTCAATGTCATTTATTTATAATTGCCGTATTCTCTCCGCCGCGTCGCACTGCGCCACAGCCGTTCAGCTCACGAGAAAAGGACGGGGGCGGGGGGGAGGGAGGAAATCGATTCGCCTCATCATCATCATCATCTCTCGAGAGTCGATAAAATTTGTATCACTTTGTGGAGTGTCCAAAGTAGGGAGACACATTCGGCTTGAATGGCTTATCATGTAATAACTTCTGAACAAACAACGTTCATCCCAAACCGTTTTTTTTTATGTCAAACTCTCCTCAACGACCCCACCATGGAATTACTCACAATCTGCCACCCATCCCTCATTTGTTACTGAAGAATGATCATTGCTCAAAATGTTAACTCATTACCATATACGTCTCAGCCATGAGACGTTCATTGTTAATGACTGCAAAAACAGTTCTTTACATTATATTTTTATTTCCCTCTTTGAAGGTTGGCGCTTAAGGTCATATGTCGCGGGAAAAGGTTCAAGGGATCGGAGTGCAGGTTAAAAAAGTAAAGTTCAGAGATTGGGGCTGGTCAGGGTTGCTCAATTAGGGTTGCAATGCTAAAGTTGAGAGAGACCGCAGCTAAAGGTTCCACACTAATATTGAAATATTGTGCCTAACCCTCAGACATTGTATGAATAGCCAAAACACAACAACAAACATTTTGCCCTCGAATGTTTTAAGCACCGGGAGAGTTTCCCAAATAAGTCACTTGACAAATTATGTAGAAGTGACAGTGTGGTAAAAGGGCACATTTAATTTGCCAACCTTTCATATTTAATCTTTGCTTGCGGCTAAATATGATGGTAGTTTATTTCAATAAAAAATATATTGAACTCCTACAGCAAAGTTTCACCGCAAGTATATCATGGCCAAAGAATTCCTGGGTAAATTTGCACAGTAATTCCCCTAGGCCAAGTGTCTGGAATATGTAATCTCCGAACGTGAAGTGGCTATGCCTTGAACAGTCTACTTAAAAACAAATTATTGATAAAAAAAATGTTCTTGTACGTGGCAGGGACTGTTTCTGTGCTTGTAGGACTTCTGGCAGCTGTATTGCTAAGCACCGTGATCTCCGTACGTCCCGCTAACCCTCCCTAGAAAGCTCCGGAGAGCAGGCATTGTGCTACCATACCCTGCCTATCCTACCTGGCCGCCACCACCACCACCACCATCATCATCAACAGCCCTTCATACATCCGCTAATGGCTGAATGCCTCCCCCGATGTTCACCGTCATTCACGGTCCTGTGATTCCATGAATCCATCACGCTCCTACACACGACCCGATCTCGTTGCTCCATCTCTGCGGAGGTTGCCCGGTTTGGCCGCTCGTCATTTGTTTGTTTTTTTCTCCCAGATCGGATTTGGTGCCACGCACCCGCTACGGCGCTGGATTAGTCGCGAACATTCGCAGTCGCAGTGCACCGTACCTCCAAATGTCAGCGGAAAGGACATCCCTTACAAAGAACGGAACAGCACATTCGTGTCGTAACATTTCTGAAATGTATTGCGGGGAGTCTTCTGGCATCCTTTAATCCGGCGATGGAATGTAATATTTCATGCCCCTACTGTACGTCAATAAATAATCACCAGCACGTGAATAGGATCCTCGAGTTTGCCGATTGCCGTAAAAAAATTAGAATTCTAAAATCGTGCAAAACACACAGATGCTCAAAGGAGAAATGAAGAACGTTGGTTTGGTCAACTACTGTGCTACTCATACATCGATGATCGAAGGTTATTAGGTTATAAGTTGTAGGGCTTATCAAAGAGGTGCAACGCTGAGATGTAGAAATCACGCAAAAAGGGCCACAAGAGCTTGATGGGATTCACCCGCGATCATCTGCGTGTCCGTCGACGAGGGTCAACGTGAGCACATCTTAAACGTCCGTTTCGCACGCGTCTTTGAGAAACTTCGTTTCTGGTATGCGGCATACGAATGCGACTGGTAAAGACGCAACCCCGAAATTTCGTGCTCACACGGCTCCTGGCGGAAGGACCTCCACTCGGGGGAGCTGAACAAAGCCTACACCGAGAGGGTTATTTTGCCGTTCCTTACTCTTTCACGCTCAGCCAGACGTCTCGGAAGATATGGGAATGCGCACGCATTGTGAATGTTGTGCAGTTGCCCCATTGTTTCAAACTGCCTCTCCGGGAGATGGAATCGAACCGGCGACCTCTGGATTTGTAGGTCCAGCGCGCCCTGCTTATTACCCCAGTATTTGTCTGAAAGCATGCCGCGTGCGAAGAGAGAACAGCAGCGGCAAAGTGGCAGCTCCTGGGAGGCAGCAATTTCCCAGGTGGCGAAGAAGTGCTGAGCTGAAAACAGCTGCTCACGATTCACTCTGCTACCTGTGCAGATGAACAAGTCAAAGGGAGCATCTCTGCCGCAAGGCGAGAATTTGCTCGGGGTTTCTTCGCAATGGATCTTCCCTGAGATGGCAAGAATTGCATCTGGAAAATTGGACGAGGTTGCGTGATGAAAGTCCGCAACTGCTTGTTAGGACGTGTGAGCGGTAGGGTGGCAGTTAGCGCTACACTTCGCTACGAACCTGGCGAACCGAGTTCGATTCACGCTCACGGCCAACATCGGTGACGATTATCTGAACCGGTCCTGGGCCTCCCCTAGGTTGACTCGGCCTCAAATGAGTACTTGGTGCGGTGCGTAAAAACATCACCACTCCGGAGACAAAGGCGGCTGGGCGTGGTGCTGGCCACCCACCCCCTCGTGTGCCGTTCTGGCCTTTATAGGTGCTCGCTTACAGCACTTGCCCCAACAGTGTGGTAAGGCTATACGGGGATCTTTGTCTTTGCCTTGCCTTTATAATATTTATAGTCGTGGCAAGATTAAACATGGAGAAATGCAGTGGCACGGATGTTTTGCAGAAGTATTTATAAATAACTGTAATCATTAAAACAAATAAAGGGGATGGATATGTAGTTCCAGAGAGACAGCCCTCAACATTTTTGCTGGTGCCTCTGAAATCCTGGGTTTGAATCGACGCATCCACCTTTGATCGAATCAGGTTCTCATATTTAGAGCGTTGACGGTCTCAACCCGGCCACCAATGAATATACTGCATATCGAATTAGTTTTTTGTAAATGTTGACATTGACGATGTGGAATTGTTTTATATATTTGGGCCGGTGACAGCTCGGCAGGATTGGATTTCGCCGGGAAATCTGGTTCCTTTGCAAAAATAAATATTCACCAACTAATTAGGCAAACATCCAAAGCAGACAACTTTCTTAAACAGCCTTGAGAATCAGTGAACTTCACATGGTAAATGATTTAAACTTCTTACATCACAGAAGACAAACTGATGTTAGCAATGACTAAAAAATAAAATACGGGCATGCGAGTATTTTTTTTTACTTTTCATATACCGCCATCAAAACCTCTTGAGTGCCTTTTTTATAATGAAAGGTGACACAGAGAATGTCATGTATTTGGGAAAAATAGTTTGCAAGTCAATTATTCGAACAGCACAGAACATTTTCTGTTCATCAAATGTCATTGTTGCAGCACGGAGAAATCCACCTGCTTGGGACCAATTCGTAGCTGATGCATTGCTGTTATGCTCAGTAATACCAGCCTTTTGACAGTGCTGCCACATTTCTTGCGGGAGTCTGCATTGAGTAATTTGAGCACAAAGACACTTTGGGCCTGATGCACGTCTTTACAGAGCGGCAAGAACACGCATTGCCTTGGCGATTTACCTCCGCTTTTTTCGGTAATGGAGGTGTTTTTGCGACAATTTGGATGAAAATTTAATATTCACTATCGTGTGAATCAGACCCATTGGTCTATAACGATACAGTTGTGTATGCCAGACCAACGTTAAGATTCAAACGAGTTGCAAAAATGTGTAAAAAGCACGAGGCCATATGTGCATTATTGCAAAAACACAGCAGAATTTCATTTAAAAAGTGCATTGTGGTCCTTTTGCATTATACCACCATCGAAATAAATGAGCGAATGTAACAAACCAACTGACAACAGCGGCGATGCAGGGATAGACAACTGTTGACCGGATGCTCTCAATTGTGCTCGAATTATGTTTGACGGTGATCGAAGATAAGATGCCCACAATGCACTTCTTTAGGAAGTGCTGATGGGGTTTTTTTTGTTGTTGCATACGCACGGAGGCCGGCGTTTTTGTGTGTAGCAAACCTGCACCGTGATCCGGTCTTATTGTTCCGTTCTGGCCAGTGTTGTTCTCGTGAGCCTTTTGACTGGCGCTAACTCTTTCAGGCAATGCCCTTTGAAAAAGGAGACGAATGCCAGGCAGTTTGAGAACTCATTATTACGTGGCATCTTGACAAAAACAGGTGCATTGGATGATCTTGTCAAGAAATTGATTTGCTGAAAGTTATCTTCTTTAAACGTATACATATATAAAGACAATACATAAACCACTACTTTGTGATGGAATTGCAATATATCACGAGGCTTTAACGTATATGACTTGTGAGTGTCTAGTGAGTGTGATTAATGCTGTCTGGTGGTGTGGATGAGAATCTGATGAGTGTCTGGTGAGTGTCACATGACCCTGTCTGTCGGTTGGGCTGCCCTGCAGTTAAAGGATATGGCAGGCACACCGCAGTGAGGTAACTTAGACTGTACAAGTCATATCTCACGGACATAAACAACAATTTAAGTGAAGGAACATGCAGGAGGAACGCACAGCACAACTCCTCTCATCAACGGCCGTTACCCATGACTCCTCTTACCTGCAACAGCTGTAGAGTCCACGGAAACTCTTATTATCCGCGGCACTATTTATTCCTATTATTCGTGGTTATCCATGATTTTAGCCACAATGCATAGCGGCAACTTCATCCTATTTATCCGCGGGATTTATCCGTGAACCTTTATCACTGCGGATGAGAGGAGTAACTTCACGGGTAACCCCACAGCTTACGGGATCTACAATAATGGTTCTCCGTATCAAAGCATATTCGAGGATTTGTTCAGTATCCGCAAAAAAGAAATGTCTATCTTCTATATTTGACTGTCTTTTAATGCAAGTGGGCGCTGCGGTTGCGAGATGTCAACTCCCTCGCCTGGTATGGAGGAGGTCGTGGGTTCGATCCAGACTCTGACACCTGCTGCTGTATATTTGGAGTTTGTATGTTCTCTCCGTGGTGGTCGTCTATGGGGGTTTTTTTCGGGTCCTCCGTTGCTTCCCTCCACATTTGGAATCAACATGCGTCTGGAGTGTTTGGCTGCGATACATTTCCACGTGATAAGCCATTTAGTTGACCTATCATTTCGCTATATATTTCATATATAAAAGAGCTATATAGCTCAGTGGGCCTTACCTGGTAAAATAAAAAATAGTTTATATTTGGATAATTTATGGTTTTTGAAATCACACATTGAATGAACACGTGTCCTACACACACAAAGTGTCATCCAAGCTATATCAATATCGAGTTTGTTGTGCCTATGACAACCGGGGACCACGTTTTAATCACCAGCGCAAATACATTTGCACTTTACAGTAGGCCTATACGTATGTGCATTACATTTGTTTGCGTTGATAATGGTGCTAAAATGGCCCACATTCTCATGTTTGCTATGCGCCAAATAAATGTATGCACCGGCATATAAATGATATTGGTAGAGAGAGAGAGAGCAGTGGTTAGCATTGTGAACCCGGCCACCTGAGTTCAATGTGTAGGTATGGCTAAATTTAGATTAGATTAGTGGCCAGTGATTGTGTGAACCGAACCTTCACAATGGCCAGCATGGTGACGTATTAGTCAATCAGTCGCCATGGCTGGGACTATGTGGGGAGGCATTCATCCAGCAGTTGACTGATACAGAACTGTAAATGTTTTCCTATTTTATGTTCGTACAGTACGTTATTTTTACGTGAATTATGAGGTGTTAAGTAATGTTAGAAAACTAGAAATTCCTTCCATGAGATGAGGATGGCCCGCCGTCTTTTTGGCAGCAGTTCAGTCACACCACCTGAAAAGTTGTCGAGATGCATGAAGTCTTCACGTCCTTAGCTTAATCTGCCATCATCATAATCATCCTCATCAGCCAATGCCTATCCACTGCTGGATGTTAGGCCTCGTAAAATCTCGGAACCTTAGCTTTGCATACCCGATGAGATTGTGCGCGCGTTTATACCTAACCACGTCCGATATTGCACTGATTATTGCGCCGATGTTGCAAGCTCGAGCAATTGTGTGAGTTGTACCCCAAGCAGCCCTGGCCGCTTGCCTCCTCCTTGCCCTGGTTACGCGCGCGAAGCCAACCCCAACGCCTTCTCTCGCCTCCGCCTGTGCGCAGACCCATATGTCAAGATCCACCTGATGCAGAACGGCAAGCGGCTCAAGAAAAAGAAGACGACCATCAAGAAGAACACGCTCAACCCGTACTACAACGAGTCCTTCAGCTTCGAGGTTCCCTTCGAGCAGATCCAGGTAAGGAGGACCCACCGTTGCGCCGTCCGTGTCTTCTCTCCCTGCGGGTGGAGGAGCGTATGACGGGAACGTGCCCTCGGCCGGCGCTCGAGAGGCACGTCGGAAGAGATGGCACGGCGGGCGTCCGTTCCGTCCCCCCCCCCCCCCCCCCAGACGCTGACTTTGCAGAGCTGTGCGGTGGCCGGTAGAGGGCGGCACTGCGAGTAGCCTGCCAGACCACCCCCCATCCGTGTGGATATTGAACCGTTTCCCCCATTTGAACGAGTTTTCTCCGTGTACCGGAGTTTTCCTTCGCTCGTGCAAAACACCGCGGTTGGAGATCAGCAAAACTTCCCAAGCAAAGCAGAGCGTTGCCATGAAGGAGACTTGGGGCTCAGTTGAGCCTTTCCTAAGGATCAATGGAGAAACGGTGCGTTTTTATTGACTTAACAAATGGCATTTTCAAACTTTTGTTCGAAATGCTGCTATTAGCTACATGTCGTGAGATGAATGTTTAAGTCAGAGCTTCTAAAGAGCACTGTATCACCCCATATTAGAGAACGGAGCGCAGAAGGGGAAATCACAGAACTGCATCTGAGATCCCTCGAGGGATCTCTGTTATTCACACTGAAGACGCGACACTTTCACAGATACCTTTGCCGCAGAGAGCTGTTCGCCGCGCGGCAATTAAACCACATTTTAAAGTCTCAGAGCTCAAATCTTGCCAATCATATGACAAAGAGGGAACGAGTGAAGAGTGCAAACATATACAATCGGGCCATTTGTTAGTGTGCAGTCATAGGCAACCATGCTGATACCATCAAACTCGCTCTCCTTTAGAGCCCAGTGCCAGCTCAATGCTCTGACCCCTGAGCCACCCAACCACCTGTCAGGCCTGGCTCCAGCTCCTCTCGGATCGGGGGGAGGGGGGCAGTCGGCCTGTTGTGTGCCGGCGGGGTGGGGGGGGGCACAATAACAGTTGATGATACACCGCTAAGGAAAAGTGACCTTGGTGTCGGGGGCCCAAAGAGACATTTGGTGGTGCAGGGCTGGCCTACCCCAGCACGCCACTAGCGCCTGCCCTGCCCTCACCTGGCCACCTCTTTAAGTGGCTATAAATTTTGGTTTCTAAACAAAGGACGGGGCATTCGGCGCAACTGGCCATTTTCTGCCGAATGCAAATGAGGGCAAAAGCAATTTTTGCGTCTCCCACAAAATCTCATTAGAGCAACAATTAAATGTTGACGAGCTTGAGGGTTCTTAAAGAATGCTACCTCAACCAGATCCAGCAATGATCCTTGTAGCGTTTAATCAATTACGATCAATTGTTCTTAATCACATTTTTCATGTTAGATTCGTTGGGTGCTCACTTTATGAGCGTTTGTCAATTAGCGTGTAATTATTATTAGTATTTTGTACCAAAATGTTTTGAATTGAATTAATACACCAATTACATGCCCACACATTAATGCACGGATGCAAGAGAATAATCTTTGGCTAATGTGTGAAAATCAAGCAAATTGGTAAATTATACTAACAAAAAAAATTCCAGCCGTTTGTCATTCAACTGCCGATGGCCTCCCTCGGTATGCGTTGCTCATGCAAGTTAGTTTTCTTTTGTTGTTACCATACTTCACCACTCTGGTCAGCACAACTTGGTGAAGGAATGTTCAGAGCCCTGTCCAGGAAGCACACTTAGGTCAACAGGTTCATCGTGCAGTGAGCGCCACCGTTCCGCGCCCATGCAGTCATGAACGTACGTACACCATGGGCATGCAGAATATTACTGTTTATCAGTGTGTGATATGATAATTATGATTATTATTCATATTATATGTTGTAATACTAAAGTATGCATTACCTGGTAGTGCACAGCATTGTGGACCAAGTGACCCGAGTTTGATTCCCGGCTACGACCAATTTGAGTGGCGAGTGATATCATAACAGCTGTTAGGTTTCACCTTCACCAATCCACACTGACCCACACGGTGAAGTATGGTTAAACAATCCCAAAGACTGCCAATGGTGTGGGGAGGGCCTTCATCGACTAATGGATTCACATAGGTCTGTAAATTATTTATCATTTTGCAAGGAATCATGTCTGCATTAACCACATATACTTTTGGTGAACATGCAAACAAAAAAACATGCTGAACCAATCAGTTTGAAAGACAATGCATATATGACCAGAGCATGTTTTTGTTTGCATGTCCACCACAAGTATATTTGGTTAATGCAGACATGATTTCTTGGAAAAGGTTTCTGTTTGGTGTTTTAACATCTTAACACAACTGTTTTTGCCAGAAAGGGTAAAACCTATTCTTATATCTTCATTATTTTATTCATTTACACATTATACAGCAACTGTATATATGTTCAGAGCCCTGTCCATATTGTAATATTGTAAACCAGTGTATGCCTAGTGGCATGCGGTACACTTGCAGAGTGAATGACAGCTCTGATTGCATAAACAAATTGTGCCTTTTTAATGTGTCGACTTAAAGGCAGTGTTTGCACATATATGGAGCTCAATCTCTTTCGTCAAAAAATTGTCTAATTTCCACCCGAAATTTATTAAAACTCAGATACCCCGAAAAACACATGGGCCCAGCCTATTATCTTATATTTTTTTCTGGAATAACTGTATATGCAATTGGAATTGATAACTGGAATTACAGACTTTGTGGAATATTTGTTTTGGCTAGATGTACAAAACAAGCGCATGAGCAAAACAGTGACACACTCATCACCAGTGGTGGGGAGCCCAACATTGGAAAAAAAATGATCCACTGCTGACCTCCCACAAAGCGATTCAAATTTTAGCAACCCAGATTTGCCTATCTGCAAGACTATACGCAAGACTATAATTGTGTGGCAAACCCTCAAACCACAATGCCAGGCGACTTAACAACAATACATAAACTCATAAATAATAAATAACAATGTTTGCTAAGCCACCGCTAGACTCCTACCTCAGGCCATGTTAGTCATGTTTTTTTTCTTACCATATTTCACCACACTGGCCAGTGTGGGCTGGGCAAGTGGGAGAGGTTCGGCAGGGTGGGGGGGGGGGGTGCGGCACAACTGTTTGAGATATCACTCGCCATTGATATCAGCCGTGACCGGTAATCAAACTCGTTTCGTTGGGGTTCACCGCGCAGCCACTCTGTCGACCGCGGCGCGGCGATGCCAGCTAACAATTACGCAGATTTGGAATAAAGAAAAACACATCATTAAGCCCGCCGCAGCGGCAGAACTCATTAATTACGAGAGCCACTAGGATGTTGCTGAGAGAGCGCCGGCAATGCTGACCGTGACACTTGTGCGTGCGAGTAAATGCGGCGCGCGCGCGTGCATGTGAGTGCGGTCCTTTGTAAGGAAAATGTATAAACATTAATCACGGCGCACAGAGCTCCTAACGCGTGACTCCCGTGACCTTGACAGGGTGACCCGCACACGACCCTAATTATAAACGCTTTCTGTGGGGTCCCATTGTAGCCAATTATGTAAATGAGATATCCCGTGTGGTTTAATACACAAATTTAATTATAACCGCTGCTCATTTTAATGTATTTATTATGCAATTCCACATTACAGCAGGATAAAAAAAAAGTTTGGTCCTGCCTGGAAAACATGCTAGTATTAAAATATCATTGCACAACCCGAAGGCACCATAGCAACATATAGGATGGTTATAAATAGGGTAACATTTGAAGCACCAGTAAACATGTTGCAATAACAGGAAAAAATTACAGCGGGCAAAACCAGTCGTATTCATGGTATTTGTTTTTACTGAACTTCTATGTAATTTATAAACACTTCAATGTAAAACCAAAATTATATCCAACACAAACGTGTATAGTGTATATATTTTTTTTACTTTTTTATCTAGATCTTGGTGCAGCGAATGATCCTAGATCCCAGCTGGACATTGCAGATTCTCCCTTGGTTCCTTTCCCACTCTTTATCGTTCTTATCCACTCGCTTGTACAACTTCATTCAGCAGTGACGCATCCCGCAAACGTGAGCTCCGACTTCAGCTGACGTTCCGCCCTCTTGCTCCCTTACACAGGGACTGAGAGATCTGCCTGTGCAAATAAACGGATGCTAATGTCTACATTTCATGTAGGAAGAAGCCATTACGCAGGCAACTTTTATTATAATAGATCGTGTCTGTCCTGGAAAACCTCACACGGTCCCAAGACATTTTCACCAGGGCCTGCTTGGCATGTTCAGCCAATTCCTTATCAAATACGGTTTGGGGGGTAGGAGAACACGAACATCTAGAGAAAACCAGGTAAGGCCCACTGAGCTATGTAGCTCTTTTTCAGAAGCGGCCTGGCCACAAATGATAGCTGAACTAAGTGGCTTATTGACGTGGACATTGATATCAGTCAAATACTCTAAATGCACGTTGATTCTAAACGTGGAGGGAAAAACCGGAGGACACGGAGAATGTAAATCACCTGGAATGTGCTCAGCCTCGTCAGATCTCAGAAGCTAAGCAACTTTGAGCCTGGTTAGAGCTTGCATTGTCGACAAGCGTACTTAGAACTCCACATTGCATTCTGTCCAATGTGACTTGGAGTTACAGAGTGTTCATGGATGGCAATTGCTTCTAATATCCGGCATTTTATTCCAAAGGCCATGCCATGCTGACGAGATTTATCTAAGTTAAAACCTCTCCAGCGTTTCCAAAGTTTAAATAAATGTGACTGAACAACATTACTCCAGAAAGCCCATTGGTTGTTGGCACGACATTGTTTTGTTTTATTTCAATGCCAAAGCAGATTCATTGACCTGTTTAATTAATCATTGTTGTAATTTCTGTACTGCCATCTGCTGGCTATTTAAATAACTCTGCAATTTTTAAGTCTCGCACACGTAAGTACCAATCAGTCATCCAGAACGTTGGCCACAGGCATCTAGCACTTAATGATCATATCTGGATTAAAAGATCCGCAATAACGCTGGCGAACAGAGTGGAACTAAAAACTAAACTGGTAGCAGCTCACTGGCAACGCCAGCTCATGAAAACTAAACTATTAAGCAATTTTTATTTTACGAGGTAAGGCCCACTGAGCTAAACAGCTCTTTCACAAGTGACCTGGCCACAAATGATAGCTCAACGAAGTGGGTTATGTTCGAATTTATAGCAGCCAAATACTCTGAACGCATGTTTCTAAAAGTGGAGGCAAACCCCGAAGTTATCCGGAGAAAAATCAACAGGACTACGAGTAAAGCATGCAAACTCCAAATATACAACAGGTGTAATCTTGACTTAAAGCTTTAGTGACTGCAGGAATTCATATTATTGGGTATTTCGGTAAAGTCACGTAGATAGGTTCAAAGAAAATGACAAAAAACTACGTTTCGATCGCAACACAAGCAATCGTCATCAGGAGATGGAGATGATGAATGATTGCTTGTGTTGCGATCGAAACGTGGTAGTTTTATGTTATTTTGTTATTTTCTTTGAACCCATCTACGTGACTTTACCGAAAGACCCAAGAATATACAACAGGTGTCACAGTCGGAATCGAACCCACGACCTCCTGTCTACCAGGCGAGGTAGTTAACATCTCCTAGCCACCGTGGCACCCTTACAGTCCAAGCAAAACCCCGTCGGTGCCACGGTGCCGAGATGTTAACAACGTGGGTGTCCAGAATAAACTCCTCATTTGACACCCAAACATCACAACTGCCTGGCTTTGACATTCCTCCTAAAAAAACACCGCTGTACAACCGTGAACCATGTCAGAACAACATCAACAGGCCGATGCACACACCTCCTTCATCAATGTAGAATTAAAGACACGAGCCACAGTACGACTGTGGCCATGCAACCCAAACTATAGACCAAATAGTATAACCACTGCAGTCTGTGCTCCTTCAATGAAGGAGGAATAGCAAGCAATACGACACGAACTCTCTCTCTCGATGACCTCTCGTGGCTACCAGACTTGGACATTAGCAATCAGCCTCTGAACGCGTTGCTGCCATACACGAGAACAGAATTACAGGCGTGTGCCTCGCCACACACAGCTTTTGGCCATGTAATCATTTTTCTTCACAATGTGTTCCTGCCCATCCCTCTTCACTGCTGCTACCCAACCAGCATAACCTCACGACCCACGTCAGGGCCACAACCACTGTGGCTGTAAAGTGGGTGTCTGGACAGCACCGATACAATTTTAGATATGGCTAAGCCACAACATGTTGCACTCCTGTTCAACAAAGACACAGTCTGCATACACATTCACACGGTCAGGACACATATACAGTCAGCACCCTACACACATTCACACAGTAAAAACACACACACAGTCAGCACCCAACACACACACACAGTCAGCACCCACCCTACACACAGTCAGCACCCTACACACACAGTTAGCACCCTACACACACACAGTCAGCACCCTACATACACACAGTCAGGGCCCTACACACACAGTCAGCACCCTACACACACACAGTCAGCACCCTACACAGTCAGCACCCTACACACAGTCAGCACCCTACACAGTCAGCACCCTAAACACACAGTCAGCACCCTACACACACAGTCGCACCCTACACACACAGTCAGCACCCTACACACACACAGTCAGGGCCCTACACACACAGTCAGCACCCTACACACACAGTCAGCACCCTACACAGTCAGCAACCTACACACAGTCAGCACCGTACACACACAGTCAGCACCCTACAGTTAGCACCCTACACAGTCAGCACCCTGCAGTCAGCACCCTACACACACAGTCAGCACCCTACACACACACAGTCAGCACCCTACACACACAGTCAGCACCCTACACAGTCAGGACCCTAAACACACAGTCAGCACCCTACACACACAGTCAGCATCCTACACAGTCAGCACCCTACAGTCAGCACCCTACACACAGTCAGCACCCTACACAGTCAGCACCCTACAGTCAGCACCCTACACAGTCAGCACCTTACACACACAGTCAGCACCCTACACACACAGTCAGCACCCTACACACACAGTCAGCACCCCACACAGTCAGGACCCTACACAGTCAGCACCCCAGTCAGCACACTACACACACAGTCAGCACCCTACACAGTCAGCACCCTACACACACACAGTCAGCACCCTACACACACAGTCAGCACCCTACACAGTCAGCACCCTATACACAGTCAGCACCCACCCTACACACAGTCAGCACCCTACACACACAGTCAGCACCCTACACACACACAGTCAGCACCCTACACAGTCAGCACCCTACACAGTCAGCACCCTACACACAGTCAGCACCCTACACAGTCAGCACCCTACACAGTCAGCACCCTACACACAGTCAGCACCCTACACACACAGTCAGCACCCTACAGTCAGCACCCTACACAGTCAGCACCCTACAGTCAGCACCCTACACACACAGTCAGCACCTACACAGTCAGCACCCTACACACACAGTCAGCACCCTACACACACAGTCAGCACCCTACACACACACAGTCAGCACCCTACACACACAGTCAGCACCCTACACACACACAGTCAGCACCCTACACAGTCAGCACCCTACACACACAGTCAGCACCCTACACACACAGTCAGCACCCTACACAGTCCGCACCCTACACACACAGTCAGCACCCACCCTACACACAGTCAGCACCCTACACACACAGTCAGCACCCTCCTCACACAGTCAGCACCCTACACAGTCAGCACCCTACACAGTCAGCACCCTACACAGTCAGCACCCTACACACAGTCAGCACCCTACACACACAGTCAGCACCCTACACACACAGTCAGCACCCTACACAGTCAGGACCCTACACACACAGTCAGCACCCTACAGTCAGCACCCTACACAGTCAGCACCCTACACACACAGTCAGCACCCTACAGTCAGCACCCTACACAGTCAGCACCCTACACACACAGTCAGCACCCTACAGTCAGCACCCTACACACAGTCAGCAACCTACAGTCAGCACCCTACACACACAGTCAGCACCCTACACACACACAGTCAGCACCCTACACACACACAGTCAGCACCCTACACAGTCAGCACCCTACACAGTCAGCACCCTACAGTCAGCACCCTACACAGTCAGCACCCTACACAGTCAGCACCCTACACAGTCAGCACCCTACACAGTCAGCACCCTACACACACAGTCAGCACACTATACACACAGTCAGCACCCTACACACACAGTCAGCACCCTACACAGTCAGCACCCTACACAGTCAGCACACTATACAAACAGTCAGCACCCTACACACACAGTCAGCACCCTACACAGTCAGCACCCTACACACACAGTCAGCACCCTACACAGTCAGCACCCTACACACACAATCAGCACACACACAGTCAGCACGCACACACCCCACGCACACACCATTCACAGGCAGCCAACCGCGTTGCGCTCTAACGCGCTCCGACGTCTCCGCGTACAGATCTCCATCCCTAACCTGCCCAGCCACCACCACCACCACCGTCCACAACTTCAACCCTCCGGAGGAACCCACAACGCTTGACCGCAACCTGGCCTGCGCCTCAGTCCATGCCGTCCGTACGGCCGAGAGGGGCGCTAACCTCCTCTCCACATTCCCCATCCCCACAGAAAGTGCAGGTGGTGGTCACGGTGCTGGACTACGACAAGCTGGGCAAGAACGAGGCCATCGGCAAGCTCTTCGTGGGCTGCAACGCGTCCGGCACGGAGCTCCGGCACTGGTCCGACATGCTGGCAAACCCGCGGCGGCCCATCGCCCAGTGGCACACGCTCAAGCCCGAGGAGGAGGTGGACGCCAGTCTAGGCAGCAAGAAGTGACCCCCCCCCCCCTCGCGAATAATAACCCTCAGCCCCTCCGCTTAGCTCCTCCGGCTTAGGTCAACGCTGTCCGTCTCTCCCAGAACACCACCACCACCCACCGCTTGCCTGAACACGGCACTCTTGATCCGAACCTGGCCTTCACCTGCTCTGCCCTTCCTCGTGTTCCCCCGTCCTTGCCTCTTGCCCCGGAACTTCCCCGCTCCTTGCCAACTCTGCCCCCCCCTCCTCCTTCTCATCATCATCATCAATTCCCGCTCGCCCCGCCACCCTGAGCACTGCCCTGCTCCGCATCACCGTTCTCGCCTCGCCCGGCACCCGTCAGATGTGTGGCTTTGTGTGTCTGTCGATGTTGTGCGTCTTTTGTGTGTTTTGTGTTCGTGTACTTTTTGTGTGTCCTTCGAGGTGCACCTAGCCTGGCACACGCGCCGTGGTGACGTCACCGCCACTTGGTGGCGAATGGCGGCTGTTATTGTTGTTTATGTGTGTGTTTTTTTATGTGTGTGCGTTTATGTGTATTACGTGTGTGTTTGTTTCGGTGTGTCTATGTACGTGTGTTTATGCGTGTTTATTTAAATGTGTCTTTGTGTATTCATGTGTGTATTTATTTAAGTGTATTTATTTAAGTCCATGTGTCATCGTGTGTGTGTGTGTGTTAATGGGTGTGTTTATTTGTGTGTAAATGGGTGTGTTTATGTGTGTAAATGGGTGTGTTAATGTGTATGTGTTAATGTGTGTGTTGTGTGGGTAGCGGTAGTGTGGCGGTTAGCGCTACGTTGCGCTACGATACCCGGCGACCCGAGTTCGATTCCCGCTCACGTCCAAAATCAGTGACGATTATCTGAACCGGTCCTGGGCCTCCCCTAGGTCGACTCAGCCTCAAATGAGTACCTGGTGCGGTGTGTAAACATCGCCACTGGGGATACAAAGGCGGCCGGGCGTGGTGTTGGTCACCCACACCCTCGTGTGCCCGTTCTGGCCTTCGTAGGTGCTCGCTAACAGCACTTGCCCCAACAGTCTGTCGCAGGCTCCACGGGGATCTTTGTTGTGTGTTTACCGTGTGTCTGTGCGTGCGTGCGTGCTTGTGTTTACATGTTGCGTTCCGCATGTCTGCGTGCGCAAGCGACACCTCGCTCCCGGTGAACTCGGAGGCAGACGCCTAGAGGCGGTGCCACTACCCCGGGCGATCAGTCGCGCAACCGAAATCGCTCTCGGTCGCAGAGACGTCCACGACAACTCGATCGATATGCGACTGATCTGCTCGGGTGTGAACCCGCCTTTAAATAAACAAAAAAATACTTTGATGCGCCTTGGCTCTTATTATCCAAGCAATGCAACGGTGTCAGCTTGACGCCGAAATTTTTCGACCATCTGGATATTTATCCAAAAGTTCACCATGGGCACGCAGGCCACGTGCGTTGCGTTGCGTGCGTGCGCGTGTATGTTCGTACCTCGAGTTGCACCTAAGCTGGCACAAGCGCCGTGGTGACGCCACCTCCACTAAGTGGCGAACGCCCGGTTATCGTTGCGTGTTTCTTCGTTTAATGTTTGTGCACAAACTAAGGCTTGGGCTAATTATACAACCAAAAGCCCTCCTCATCATCCTCCTCCTCCTGTTTCTCACCTCACCTTCCAGTCACTCAGCCGGGCAGCCAGCTCCTTACCACGCAACATCAACCCCAGCCCGATCGCTCCGCAGCTGCCCACCTTTTCTGCCTCCCTGCCCCTTGCTCCCGTGCCCCCCCCCCAGCTTAGACCCCCCCAAATCCTCGCCCCGCCACGCGTGCGCAAAAAAATTGTTTTGTTTGTCCGTTTTGTTCGTTTCGTGTGCATGTTCAAAGTCGTGGTGGCGCTAAGCCATTCCCACGTGGCACGCCGCGTGGGATCTCCTCCGCGGACCGCACGGCGGGCGCAGGCCCCATAGTTCGCGCGGCGCTGTTAAAACGTCGGTTGTGTTGTCGTTGTCGTCGTATGTGTGATGTCCCCCCCCCCCCAACCTCCCCTCCATGACCCCTCCTGCACAGCAAACCGCTCAGTGAGACACTGTAGATACAATATATTACCCTTCCTCGTTCACAGGCGTCTCCACCGCCCCCCCCCCACCCACCTATACCTGTATACGACGCTAGCCCTCGTTCCTGTTTGGTGTTCTGTATATAAATGCTCCCTTGTTGTTCACGTCAAGCCCTGTTCCTTGTGCTCATGCCGTACGCTACCCCCCTCCCCGCCCGCCGTTGACACGTCGGTGGCGATGATGATGATGATGATGGCTGTGTGTGCTTGAGACTACATCTCTGTTGTTTCATTACCGATGTTTATTCGATCACGGACCTCTTTAACCCGCCGTCCTGCCCGGGGGTGACTGATCACACAGTCGTTTCTGGCCAGCCCGAAGCCCATTCCCGCTGTTTTAAGTGTAGATATAGCATGAATATATGATGTCTTCAGTGTGATCATAAGGCATGTCCGTTGTGCTTCCCTTGTATGAAACCTAAAGCCCCTTTACTGTCGATGTTTAAAATAAAATTTAAAAATATATATAAAATAATTGCCACACGAGAAGAAGAAAAAAAAGGTTTTTATTACATAACTTTAACAACAACAAAAAAAATGCTTTAAAAAATGACGACGATGTACGTATTACCCGGTAGATTTAATCCGTGTTAAGATTATATATGACAACACGCTTGCTGTTTATTGGCTCGATGATAGACGTGTGACCCTGTGCTCTATGCTTTCACATTGGAAAAGGTCTACCGAGGCGGCCCTCTACACAACCACCTCGCGCTGAGAGAGCGGTGTGAGGGCGTAGCGACAACAACAACAAAAACAAATCACGCAGGCAGGCCCGGATTACCCGTCACGTGAAGGGGGGCCTTCTCAGAGGCAACCGGAGGGTCCACTCCTCCGTGGAGCCCCGACAAACAGCACAGCCCACTACTGGCCACAGACCTAAGGTGTGAGATCAAGACCCCCGGCGAGACCCAGCCACCGTGAGGGCCCGATTCATTATCCAGAAGCCATGAGGCTGTAATTGCCTCTGGACCCTACACGGGGCAGGCGCAAAAAAAACGTGTGCGTGGGGTGGGTGGCAGCAGGATCTTGAGCCATTGGTAGTACGGGGGGCCGTTATAAGATAAATAGGCCCTGGCGCAGGGCCCAGAGCGACCTTAATCCGAGCCCGTGTGCAGGCTCCGAAATGCCAGGCTTGAGAACCACGCTTGCTTGGGAGACCGCACTCCGATGCCGTTTCCACCTAAATGTGGTGCTTGTTATTGCAGCACCCGGGGATAGGATGTTCCATATGGCCGCGAGGCTTCTTTCTCCACCCCGCCGTTTGCGATCGTGACGTCTCATGATATTAAGCGTGTGTGTGCGTTTCCCTGAGTGCGTATGGCGTAATCGCTCCGCGCTGCACGCGGCTGCAGTGATCGGTTGAATGTGTAAACTGCGTTCCCATCAAAATGTTGTGGCTGTCAGGCTCCAAAGGTCAAATTAAAATCCAGGGTGTAAATTCTAATCGCAGCCTATCGAGCCATCAGTCATTTGGAGGCTTTATTTAAAACAAGTTGTGAGCCAACAAGTCTCTTGCAAGGGAGAACTTTTTTTTACTTGACAGGATTTTCTAACTGCTTGTCTGTCATATATATAAAAAAAATGAGTCTGCCGACACGATGCTCCGCCAGAAACGTACTTTTATGGAATACAAAAAAATATTCACATGCTCCCAAGGTGTTGGACATGATTAAATTAAAAACATTAAATATAGGCATGTAGGATTGTTTTGTTCACGCAACACTGGGCACTGACTCGTCTCACATTTTTATGGAAACGTAGCTTCGCTTTGGGTTTATTTATTTTCCCCCGCGTGATGTGCACAGCTATTTGCTTTCTCGACTGAGTACCGTTCAAGTGCGCGATGTTTTGTGCGTCTTTGCCCCAGCTACCGGTCCTCTTGACGTCCCCGTGACGTCCGTTAAAAGCTTGCCCCTTAAACCCCGGCATGTCAGTTAACGCTCTGCACCAGGGATAAAATTAACCGCATGCCCGATGCGGATTCAAATCCGGTCTAATGTCGCAAATCTGAGCGTAAGTCTGGCTGAAGTAAAACATATATATGTGAATGTCAATAACATATGCAGGCTATGTGCATGAGACAGCTAGGGGCAGCCAGGTACCAGGATGGAGGCTGCTGAACTCTGTGCGTGACTGACACGGCATGGGGAGGCCTTCGCTCTGCCATTGATTAACACAGGGAAGTAAATTAGTGTTCAATTATTGTTTATAGTAATTATGATATTATTAGTTATAGGCCTTTTAGCCACGTAAGGCTCGCTAAGCCTCCAAGATTTTTTGGATGGTCATACTTGGGATGTCTGTCCCGTTGATTATTTGTGCCTGTGGAAGAAATGCAGGACTCCCAAAATCGGATCCAATCAGACAACACTGCACTACTTGCTGCACTGCCATCCACAAACACCACTTCGTAAAATAAATAAAGCAGTAATACAGGTACCCCTTTATCGCTCTGAGCAAAACATCTACAGCAGCGCCCAGCAGCACTGACAACGTTGATTCTCAAAAATCGTTTTTTTTAAACCTATGCTCAATGAGCCTTACAAAACATTAACCTGTTGCAGAGTCCAGGCTGCGAACAGAACCCACTCTTGAGTGACCATCCGAGCAGTGAACGTCATAACCAAAGGCAGGTTTGCGAGAGGAGGCAGCTCAGAAGGAGGTAATAAAGGTGTTCCAGGTAGTGACAAATATCACGAATGCACATCTCCCCCCCACCCGCATGCTGCCACGAAAATAGCAACAGATATCCTGTCCACGTGACCAATGTTGTGTCTTTCAATCAGCGATCGATATATCATGTCCTTCGTCCGAACAATCACAGAGCAACACTACTTAATCTCGACACCAGTACCCCCCATCCCCCGGATGGGATATCGATCAATATATACATACAGTGTCCCTTCAATCAGTGATCACAGACAGCGCTACACTATCTTGCAAACAGCTGCGTCAAACAAAGCAAGGGGATGTGGGCCAGGGATTGATTGGAACTGGGACAGCTGGTTCCCATGGATTCGAAAAGCAGGTCACGGTTGCATTAGGCCTTTTAATCACGAAGCCTAACTAACTTTCCTGAACCGAGAGAGCTGTTTGAGGGTTGTTGTTGTTTTTATGTCACAGGGTCAAATGACGGTCAGTCGGTGGCTTTTCATTTTACCATGAAATGGCCAATTGGGAAAATTAATAAACTTCAGCAAGGGAGACCTTGGATACATTGAAAATTGGACTGAAAATTAGTGAGGAGAGTGTAAAATGTAAATGCAAAACATATACCGGGACATATACAAAATATATTTAAACATGTTAAACATCATTATTATCTACCTTTTGACCAACCCTCTTCAATCCCAATACCTCCTCACCTCGCCTGGATTCTTTGGCCTAAACAAAAAAAGAGCCACCTTACTCAGATCAGTTAATTTGGCATCAGAGGGGTAAGGAAAGTTATACAATGTCTG